TGTCTAAAAAAAAAAAAAAAACAGCCACAATCGTGCTTGCAAAACTTAACGCGACAGTAAGACGGCGAACGAGTTGTGTACCGTGCGACAATCAATGCGCCACGTGTCCGTCTTTTCGGGACGCCCGAGAACTTTGTTACACACGCGTGTGGAGCGAGGGTCGGGAAATCAGGGTGGCCGAATAGGGGGGGTGGGTGAGACAACACGACGGAGGGAAAGCGAAAACGAGGAAAAAAAGGGGGGAGGCGAGCACGCCCGCGAGTGTCGCATTGCGGTGACTACGGCTAATAGGACCCAATATTGACCTCGAAAAATTTTGCAGCCACCCTTCGTACGTATACTATATTTTTGCACTACGACGGTGTGCATCTCGCTTCTACCGCCGGGAGCACACCCTTGGTTTCTTAAGTGCCCGCGATCACGTCGGCTTTGCCCGAGACATCGGGCTCACTCTCCGTACACTTGTATATTTTACGCGCAGTCGCGTGTAAAGCACCGCGATCCTTTGTTTTTTTTCATGCCCAGGGAATATTACACACGAAACATCCCTTTTTCCTTTGCTATAGCAATCTTTGCACTTAATTCTGATTCGGCAATAGTTCTTCCCGGTCAAAAAATGCCATTTGCCGGTTAAAAACGAGCTTTAAGTTGATCACGCGATATCGAATTGTTCACATACCCAGTAAATAAAAAAAGAAAGAAAGAAAGAAAAAGTAATATGAAAACGTTTGAAGATTGTTGTTCCTCTATTTATTTATTGATTTATGAGCCCATCAAGACTCGGTGTTGATCAGCTAATTCTCGGAAGTACGCCAAGGTCCGCGTCGTTGTTACTTTGTTGGTCATATAGATGACAGTCGCGAGAAAAGTAGAAACAAAGGTTGATAGACAAGCGAGAACAAAAAATAAAAATTCATTCAAACGGCATGATAATCTGACGCTTTCATGTTAAATAGCCAATCTTACGATATACTCGACGGCGTAAATGTGAAAGAAAAGATGGTTATCATTATTATTATTATCATCATTATTGTTGTTATTGTTATTATTGCACATCGAGCGTCAGCTGCTCATTTTGGCATCTATTTATATACATGTAATTTGCATTGACTGAGTTCTCATGGACACCGTATATGGCAACGGGCGATCGACTCGTTGTATACCATTGTTACTAAGTCTACGTATATGTATATTTTAATGCGCTAGAAAAATATTGTTCATCGTTTTGAATATACTACCGTGTATGTTGCATATGGTAAAAGCAGCGATGTGGAAAGAGTATTGTTTGACTTTTGACTGCAATATATAGGCGTGGTTGTAATTTAATTGACGATAATAACTAGACGTGCTTTAGTCATCTGTGTCAACTCAGTCAATAGTTGCAGCAATATTTCAATAGTAATACATGCCATTGGGATTTAGGGTATGAACGTAATTTGAACACGTGCTGTGTCGAAACGTGGCGAGAGAAAAATTAAATTCATCGACCCTTTGTGTGTAAGATGCGTCTAATTATTATTATTATTATTATTTGAATGCGGATAGAGGTGGCTGTGACTTATGTTTGTGTACACGTGGAAGAGAATATAAATAAAATGAAACTTGTATGGAAAACCCCTCACGATACAAATGTACATCAGTATGAAAAAAATATGAACTTATGAAACAAAAGCATATACCTTATTATACATATATATATATATATATATCTAATAAAAATGATACTTCGGTTTTCCATGATAAATTTAGCATTTACTTGCAGAGTCATGTCTTCAAAGACATTGACGTTTGTTAATTGTTATACGTGTATGCAAATAAATACGCGAAATTTAACATGGAACTGTACGAATGATAAAACAAAATATATATACATTAAAGTACTTCATAATACTATATCTATAAAGATGCTAGATATACTATAGTGAAATATGAATAATAGGATATTATTAATGTGTTATACACATTCGAAAAAAATACGATTTTATAAGAAAATAGAACAAAAAAAATGATGAAAAAAAAATACATTGAGTATGTTTTATTCAAACAGAGAAACAAAACATCTCAAGAAATCGAACTGACACTGCGGGCAAGGGATAAAGTGGATATATGTTTGAATCTAAAACCTTTGTACAAAACTGCAGATAATTTGAAAAAATATTGTTTCGAGACCTTAATGTAGTACTTATTTTCCGTACATGTTTAGTTCTTTTTTTCTTTTCTTCATTCGCTTGATAAAAAAATCGAAGCACAATGTATATACTATACAAGTGACACAAAGCTCTCACTTGATTATAAAAAAGTAGAGAAATAAGCACATGTTACTAAAGGCACTAAAAATCGTTAAAGTAATGAAATATATACAAAAAATGCATCATATCTACTTTATCCCATGAACACACTAATAATACATTACTATTACGATAATTATATTATAGTTATAAAAATTGATTATCATATTTATCATGAAACCAAAAATATATTTATTACAAAAAATATTGACGCGTAAAGAGAAATAAATTTTTGAAATTGTACGAATCAAATATGTAATCTGCCTAAAACTGATACAGATAAAAATTAAAAATATATAGGATGCAAATAGAATAATGTAGCGAACATCAAATAAAGATTAAGTAAATGCTATTGAGCAATGATTTTAGCACGAGTACATGAAAAATGGGAGTAAGTGCACGAACGATGGTAACTTTTCCTTTTTTATTATTAATATCGTGATTTTACAAAATATTCAATATTTTCGTCGTTCTTACTATGATTTGCTAATAAACCGACAAACAGGTAAATTTTGTCAAAATTTTCATACTTTCATTTATTTTCTCGTCAAACTTTATAAAAACCCCATGGTTTAAAGAAAACTTCAAGTCAGATTGCATAAAAATTTTTAAACATTCTTTAATAGCTGATCATATTTTAAAATATTAAGAGTTCAACGAATAGACTGATGAAATATTTACAAATTTTTTAAAAATTTATCATATTGATTCCTATGTATAATATTAATAGTAGAGAAAAATCATTCAATTGTTATTGCAAATGAATTAATGTGTGGAGTCGACTTGACACTGCAAAACGATATGTTATTCAGAGATTATTTAATGAATGTACAATTTTCGGTATGTATTATACTTTACGTTACAAAAACTGACCATATTACATATACAAGATAAACTTTTAACTTTAATCAAACTTATTTCACGCATTAAAAAAAAAAATACAATATGTTTTTTTTTTTAACAGTTTTTGGAAAAGCATCTAGCGCAATAAAGTTATTGTCACTGTAAACCATGGATATGCGAATCTAAACGGTATCAAATTCTGAATAATTATACCATAAAGTACCACTTCTTCTTTTCGTGTATTTAACCATAAATTTTTTTTTTACAAATTATCCTTTACATATCGAAAGACTTGAAAAATATTGATAAATAATCTAACATTTATACAAATACAAAAAAAAATACAAAAAAAATACAAAAAAAAATAAGTGGATTTTACATCTTTCTCTTGGTGTTTCCAATGTTTAAACAATTATTCTAACGAGAATTTTTTTTGTATCCCTCAGCATTTTTTAAATGCATTCATAGTAAATATTATGAACAAAATAAAATGATGAGTGAGAAAATACATTTGAAATCAAAATGTTAATTTTTTGTCTTTTCGTTTGTCCAAACCAAGAAAGTGCATTGAATTATGATGCATCGCTCTTGCACGAAGCTCCAAAAAACATTATTTGCGCATGGATGGATGTACAACTTAATATTAAAAAAAATATGTTATGTAGATTTATAATAAAAGGTCTAAGTGATCTTAATTCTACAATAATAAAAAACATATGATAAGAGATACATATATATCAAATTCAAAAAATATATATATGTATATTATTTAAGAGAGATAAAATAACCAAAACGCATAATGAAATAAATACAGAAGTAAAAGAATTGAAAAATAAAAGGAAAAAAATACGTAAATGTAGAATGTAGTTATGACGAAGCAAAATTGAGAGCTATAAAACAATTGTAAATCTATGGAAAACCTCTGGGAAAAGTAATAAATCTCATCTGAAATATAAAATACATTTAAATCACTATCAAATAAATTTTTTTTATCATCTAATCCTACAGGGTAATTTTAAAAAAAACGTACACATTTGTCATGGAATGATTTAATTTTTTTTTTTTTAAGCTCATAACATTGAAATAATAACGTAATAAGGTATTTATTATTACACTTAGAAAGAAATCACAATTTTACTACAAACAAGTAGCTTATTCACTAAAATACTTAATTCTTTATTTCATATTTTCTTTCTGTAAGCTATATAAATCAATCTACGACATACAGTATAGAAATACCTGAAGTGTAAAATAAATAATGCTATTCTGCACATTCTTTCATTTGCTAAATACTTGGGCATATACTATTTTAGTGTGTATTTGCCGTTACCTTACGTTGCATTTCCCTACTTACTCAGCAGTTTATAAATACTCTTATAAATCAACCAACAACTCATACGTATTTTAATGAAATTGAAAAATTTTTATGTTATTTACAAAAATGCAACATACATAAGCTTTTATAAAATTATACAAAAGTTACTCCTTGCAACTTTAAAATATCTATATCAAATGCTTGTAAAATTGTAGATAATTACCACATGCTAAAAATGCATTCATTTCAGTTTGAAAATTTTCCAAAGATTATTGTAGTAGCATGAAAATGCTGAAAAGTTTTTTTTAAATTCGATATCGTTATCTCAAAAGTTTGTGCAAATAATTTCAGTACACCTTAGTTTGATAAAATGCAGTACTGGTAAATTTTTTTACAATTCAGTCGTCATATGAGACGTTAAGGCCTGTACTCTAGCAGCGTTGCAACTTTTACAAAGAACATGGTCGTCCAAGGGATAACATCCGTCTTCCGAATCTGAAGATAGCACGAGTCCACAATCTTCGCACTTATAGCACTGAATGTGAAAACTTCTGTCAAGGGCTACAACGCGTACAGTTTCTTCTTCGCCTGGTTCAGGCATTATTGGCAACTTGCATACGCAACATCTTGGAGCAAATTTTCTAAATACATAAACAATATTGGTGTTATTAATTTATTCTTCTCTTTTACACTACAGCATACAAAATAAAAACAAAAAAACTTACTTGTGGAAACATTGTATACAATGTATTTGATTCGTGGCGTCAACTGTGAATGGAATACCATCCAAACTTTGGCCGCAAACTACGCACGTGAAACAAGACGGATGATACGGTTTTCCGGTGGCACGTAAAATTCTATCCAAAATCGGCAAAGTGCAGACGCAGCACTTTTCCAAAGTGTTCAAATAGTCCTCCTCGCAGTAGGGCTTACCCTCGAGGGGGTAAAACGGTTTACCTTGCAGATTGACGCTGCAGATGAAGCAGCAAAAGCAACTTATATGGAAGACTTTGTCCATGGCTGAACAACCTGTTCCCTCACCCTCTACTTTTTTGCCGCACTGCGAGCAAATTCCGTATATATCGCCGTCGTCGGCATTATCTTCCATTCCTTGCACCAGGAGATCTGTTAAAACATCTACCTGAAATTTCACGGGTAATGCATGTTTCACTACTAATTTAACAAAGTGTATACAAAATCACTCTTGGAACTGATGAAAGTATAAAATTCTAGGTACAGAAAACTGGGTTTCTTACTTCTTTCACTGGCGATATTTTCCCTTGTGGTTGAGAGGCAGAGCCATAGCCGGAGTACACGGAGTAATTGCAAGACAGCTGTGACGGAGGCCTGGGATTGATCGGCTCGTAAATGGATTCATAAGTGGAGCTGGACTGCGAGCTTGGGCCGTAAATGTCGTTCGGGTATGATTCGGATGGAAAATCTGTTTGGTAAGTCGCTCTTCTTAATTCACTATAACTGGATGATACGGGACTAGGTGGTGGCGGAAGTTCTTCCGGAGGGGGAGGAAAGATGTTACCTGGTATACAAGAAATGTATTCTGAGGGGTCGGGAGGTGGCGGTAAGTCGTCTAAAATAATGGAGGAAACAACAAAAGTTAATTTAAAACAAAAATAAACCAAACGAATAAATGAATAAATGAAAATAAGAATAACAAATCAAAAATAAAATATAATGCATAGATGAAACAAATGAAGGGGAAACAAAGTTGATGAAATTACAAGCATTGGAATTCGTGGTATAGGGTTCGTGAGGATGTATTGACGATGTTGTTGCAAAGAATCTTATATTTAGTTGATTTACCTGTGTTATGGCTCTGCGAAGGAATGTTGCAGTAAGTACTTTCAGGTTTTGTAGTGTTCCATTGAATATTGCTGTAAACAATATCTTTTTCTTTTTGTACAGGTTGAGGAACAGGTATAGGTATGGCAGGTTCAATGTTACTGTAAACTACATCCCTTGATGACTGATCAGCAAGCGTTCCACTAGTTCTATCGATTATGTTTGGCACTTGAGGTCCTGGCATATTACCGATGTTAGAGTAAAAGTTTTTTTCGTCGTATCTATTTTTGTCATAATTGAACACAGGGTCAAATTTGTCTTGTAGTTGATTTGCATACAAATTTTCGTTTTTCTGGTAAAACTTTGAAGAGTCAGATCCATTTGTCGATGTGAAACGTGCATAATCATTTTTTTCGGCATTATGCGATACATAGGGAGCTGGAGAGTTCATGTACAGATTATTAGCTTTGTCGATGGATCCAGTATTGTTTAATACTGTGCTGTATGACGGTATTGATGCACCCTTTATAGAATAACTTTGCGGTACCTGCAAGAAAAAATAATACGAACTATATTTTTGCAACTTGTTGCAATTAAAATTTCCTTGAATACAGATAAATGTTACAATAAAAGTATAATCTAAAAAGGCTAAAATTTACTAAAAGAGAAACGGAATTATATCATCTAACATATAAATGTATATTTATATATTTTTTCATATTGCCCAGTAATTTAGAAATGATAATAAAACTGTTTACATTACAAAAAATACTCGTAATATTCGTTACTCGAAAAAATTACCATTTTTACAGTTCCATTAAATGAATGCATTTGAAAAAAATTATTATGATCAGTACAAAAATAGATATGTAATGAAATGATTTAAACTGCCAAATACATCACGTTATGTGTAGAAGATTGCAATTAACTGACCTGTGGCAGTGACTTTTTTGGCTTTGGTGGAACTGCTGGGCCAATTTTTTTCCCAGTCTTTATAGTTTTTCCATCGGGGCTTCCATCGAGCGAAAGCTGCAAGCTTGCAATTTGCTGTTCCAAGTTTCCAATGTTAGACATCTTGCCTAAGTTTCTTACTGCCTTGTATAAGTGATTGTTTTTGCACAATCTTATAAGGAATCAACCTGAAATTTTAATAAATGAAAAAAAAAGACATGAAAAGAGAGAATCCAAAAAATAAAGTCTCTTTTTTAACTATTCGAAAACTTAGCGCTTTTTTATCAAACCATCAATATAGTCTGCAAAATACAAAGAGCAAGGCATCTTATACATAAATTATTATGATTAGTGATAAGAAGCAGATGGCCCACTCAAGATGATGGAACTAACGACCCTGCACAAAGATGAACAGCTACCACGTAAGTAAAGATTAATTACGCACCCGGTAATACTTGGTCGTCTCTAGACTATCTTTACCATGGTGGCCCTAAAAAAGCTCTGCTTACACTTTTAAATAATGCTTTAGTTTCTACTTGGGTACATGACAAATACAATTATCCACATCAGCACAATATATGATCATGATCTCTCTTCTCATTACATAATATCTGATTCAACTCCTTTAACTTTGATTGTGGCTGAGACTGTGAATAAGTATGTCTCTTATCATCATTTTTTCTCATAAACATCAAGTGGGTAGGTAAAAAAGCAAACAAAACCATGACTCATACGCAAACAAGCACGAATGACACATACGTACTTGTTACAATAAGCCAAAGTTTTTTCTTCCTCAATTCTAAAAAACTTAAAAAACACATTCATCTCATAGGTTTATTTTTTTTTCCCAACTCACTCTCGAATAAGCGCGGAACGCATCTTCATCAAAAATAATTTTTCCTAATCCAACATAAATCTCGGATAAGATATAAGCATGTACAAACGAAACTAACGAAAAAGAAAAAAAGAAACGTGGCGCGAGAAGATAAGAGAATCCGGGATTTGTCGTTCTTTTAAGCCCGTGTGAGAGACCGAGTTGAAACGTTGCAGGGAGACTTATCAAGGCGTTTACCTTGCGAATATATAAAACAGTGAGACTCCAAACTTCGGTGGGAATGTTTATGATTTTTTCAATGTACTTACTTCATACGCTGTTATCCAGCTTCCAAGAAGAACTTGCACAATGTGGACAATGAATACTTGAATGCGCGGTGACGCCTTCTTGATGACAGCGGTGCAGTGGATGGTGGCGAACGGGCGGAACTGTCGGATTAAATTAAAAGTATTAAGTACTTATTTTCACTGTACTGCCTTTGTAATACGTTAACGTTACTCTCTCCGCTCTCTCTCTCTCTCTTTTTTTACGTATATTTGGTATATAATGTTGGGTGCGTGTTTCGTATGGGTACTTTAATACAATGAAATTGAAAGTAATAAAACTTTACCTACTTATATAGCAAATAGCAAGTTGCAAGCTAGTACGTGCCTGCAGACTGCGGACGCACCGACGCAGACACTGCAAGTGCAGACTATACAGTGCAACAGCACGTCAACTATAATGACGTACAACCAAACTAATAGTGCGTGGTGGTGGTATGATGACTAAGCTTTTTTGTTACCAATTTTCATCATTCGATTCGCATGACTCATGCCAGTCACTTTTAGGTACAATACTACAATTTAGCTGACAAATAGGTACTAAAGGTCACGAGTGTTGCCATTTACACCTTTTACATTGCGAATGAGGCGAATCTGATTTTTGGAACGCACCCCCCCCGACCCCCATTTAACTCTGATCGGTAGTCGGTAAATACTTTTTGGAGTTGACACTTATCCGGGTATGGTAAAGACTCTTGATAAAGTAGAGTGCCTTTTTACCAGACGATAAAAGTCGTCTGCTCTTTTTTTGTTTCTTAATTCTGTTTATTATTGATAAGTTATTATCAGATCATGTAATTATTACGTCCTCCAAGTTAATGACATGAGTATCCGTTGAATGTTTCAATTTCGTTGGTGATGACGATAAAAAAATAAATGATGCAAAACACGTGCGCGCAAAAATGTCTTCATCAGCTTATACAGTCGTAAATTAAAACATGGAAAGAAAAAATATGTCATGTACCTGTAAATTCAAACATTTTGGAGCCTACTATTTATTTGAGAAGCGTTTGTACGTTTTATTAAGTATGTACGCTTGCAAATCAAAATCAAGTGTACCGTTAAAACAGATGGACATATGTACACACATATAGGTAGTTTCATTTTCATGTAATAAAAAATGTTAATTCAGATAAGTAGATACACGTAAAGAAGAGAGCCATTCTTCGCTGGTATAGTGCACAACGCACTGTGCAGTGCGGACGTAGCACTCTTGAGGGAACGAGGGGTGTCAGCTCGTCTTGCCTGTAAATAATACCATTACAGTGGAAGCTGTTTAGTTTCATTGTTTACATTTTTATTTTATATTTTATTTATTTCTGTTCAGTTGTTTACGTGTGGTTGAGTGTAAGGGACAGTAAACAAGTTGAAGTGTCAAATGTCATAAGTTTACTTTTCACATACCTACACCTCTCACAAAATACTTGTTGGTTAACATTGTTATTGGATGTTGTGCTATCGTAAGATAAACAAAGAATACGCTTTAGATATGACTTCTGCATAATTGCATAACACATGTATCAATTTACCAAAACAGTACATATACTATGAGGACCAGCTGACAAGGTTTTGGTTCTCTCCTGAGCAGCTTCAAAAAACTTATGCACAAAAAAAATAAGTAAAAGTTATTGTGAGTATTATTTACTTCTACCTATCCTGTAGCGTAGTCTATTGTACGTTTTTATTGAGTTGAGTACTTCAATACCATTCAGAAGATCAGTCAAATGTTCTATGTAAATGGACAATGCATGTGGTTTTGAAAAAACTTCAGCTGGAACAAACAGTTTGCTCGCATGATGTTCACTTGGTATTTTTTTGTTAATGCTTTGTTCCATAATTTTGCAAGGAAGCTATTAATCAGACAATAGGTAAGTACTGTTTGGAAAAAGCCAAGCTGATATCGTCTGCAGCAGAAATATAACGTGTATATGTATATGTGAAGTAAATATACATGTTTATGTTCGTGTAGATAAACTTTTTTTACAATAATTTTCAAATGTGTAAAACAGCTTTTCTGTAGATTTAAGGGACATTTACGTCTTTTATTTATACTATGATGTTGAATTTTTTTAATTTATGCCCCATGCAATCTACACTTAAACATCATTTTAATATTCTATTTAAAACATTTTAAAATAATATAAAATTAATTAAGAGTAGAGAGTATGAATTTACAACAATAATTTTGATTATCAATAACAGCACCACAATTACAAAAATTTTGTTAGTAAAATTCGTGCTGTATTTAATAGTAGACAATACTAATGTATCACTGTACAAATAAATTACTTGAATCATTTAAATATGACAGTGAGTTCATTGCTTTGAAAAATTTTCTAATTGTGATGTTTTAATTATTAATCATCACAGGCCTTACTTAGAATTTCAAAAAAAGAATCCTAATCGATAATAAAATTAAAATAGGAAGACAACATTTATTTTAGTCATTAACATATTATAAACTACTTAAAGAGTCATTGACGCGTGGATTAACAGCTGGTATAGCGCTAAGTGGGGGCTCAATTGTTCATTAGAGAAAAAAAATAAATAAATAGAATTTAATGACTTGAAAGTTCTTTCCAACTGGCCGTGATGCATCACAGGCCTTCCTTAGAATTTAAAACAAAGAATTCTAGTCGACAAGAACATTAAAATAGGAAGATAACATTTATTTTAGTCATTAACATTATAAACTACTTAAGGAGTCATTGACGCAAGGATTAACAGCTGGTATGGCACTTGGTGTAGGCTCAATTATGTAGTAGAAAAAAAAAAAAAATAAAATAAAATTTAATGACTTGAAAGTTTTTACTAACTTATAGAATCATTTGATCTTTTAAAATTAAAATATGACAAAGCACATTATTGACTGGGAGGTACGATATTTATTGTGTTACTTGTTGAATTGATCGAGGCGTTAAATAAAGAAGATAAGAGATTAATTGTGATTGATGACGCCATAGTATGCTAATCGAATAAAAGCACAGTAAAACATCAGGTACAATCTGGTTGTCTGTGTGATATAAATCTATTATTATTTTTAAGGAGTATTTCAATAAAAATATTTAAAATACAATGTATATCGCATTACACGAAAAAATTACAATAATAATTATTTTTATCTGATGCTTCTTACCAGTAGAAAGTGTCTACAGAATTAGCACTATTGCATTTGCATTAATACTCAGAGTTTTTATTTTGACACCTATAAAAACCGGAATTGATAATATTGATTAACCAATAGTTATTTACATAAAAAATTTTATAAATAACTAGGTGCGAAATTCTTTTATCTTACAAATGAGTAAACGATTATATCTTTTCTTTGAGGAAAAAAACTTGCAAGTTCTTGATTAAAGGATTAAAAATATCTAGCTTTATTCTATGATGCATTTTCTTATGCATGTTTTTTTTAATTCTATTATTATTAAAGAATTATAACTTCGCTATTTTCGATAAAAAATCACTTATTTTAATTGGCATTTTTATGAATAAATTTGAGAACAATAAAAAAATTTTTATTTAATTTATTCAAGCAAAAAGGGTTTGTCGCCATTTTTATAATCAAAAAAGTACAAAACTCAGGAGACTTCGTAGATGTTTTCCTCCACATTAGTTTAATTTTTTTTTTTTTACTAACAAAACCTAATTAGAAGTAGAAGTTGAGCATTATTTTAGTAACTTGTTTTAATAAAAACTGAAACATTCCCAAGGAATCATAACAATAATGATGATTATTATTTTTTTTATTATTCAATAAGCCGATTCTGTAGATCAAACAGGGTAAACACAATATGATATATTTGTAGGAACTGTGTATTGTCACGTATATGCCCTATCTGATTGGATCAGAGTAGATAATAACTACGTGTCGTTGATCATACATGAAGATTCATCTATCTAGTGAGTCTTTATTTTGAGATTACTGTGATTGAACAACACAAGATATCAATATATTAAAATTTAGATGTGTGAAGAAGGGAGAGATAGTCTCATACATAACTTTTTTTTTTTTTTTTTTTTTTTTTAAAGGCCTTACCAAGTCGAAAAAAATTAATTCCTCGAATAAAAAAAACATTAAAATGTCTTTTAGTGAATCACTTTGTCAAGTATATTTAGTATATCTGCTCTAGGTTATCTCTTCTATAGCTAATGACTTACTGTACTGATTAATTAACAGTTACGTGGCATTTATCAATATCATTAACAGAATATGTAGTTTATGTTTTTTTCTTTGAAAAAGCTTAGTGATTTTAAAGTATATGTTTTTATATGTATGCGTCAATTTATAAAAAAATTTGGTAACGTACGTAACTTTTTTTTTTTTTTTTTTTTTTTTTAATTTAACCTTTTAAATAAAAATTTATTGCTAAGTGATAACTTTCTGGCATAAAATTTTTGTGCATTTAAAAAAAAACAAAAAAAAACAAATAATACCATTTTCATGAGTCTGGAAAATTTTTCCGTTTCTGAATCTTATTATTATTATTATATCATTATTTTATGGATTTTTGAAACGAATTAGTCTAAAATCACGCAGCTCTACATTGTTACACTTATTTTTTTACTAATATAAATTTGCGTTGAACAAAGATTAACGCACGTTAATATACTCTGAATATTTTGTATTGCTCACGTTATTATATGACGTTACAAAATAGCTTCTAAGTACCAACGATTCTTCAAACTTATTTTTCCTTACTCGTGTTACTTACCAACTTATCATTGCAGATGTTGAATAAAAGCAAAGCGCAAGAGATAGAAAAAAAAAATTTTTAGATTTTCCGAATAGAAATAAGAGTTTTTTCCTCATTAGTATGTGGTTGATTACTCGCGGGACTTCCCCGATCTTTTTCAATACTATACGCATGACTCCGATTAGGCGTTTATTTCTACGATAAATCTTTTGATTTTTCATTCCCAGTAAATATTTGTGTTTATTTTAATAAAGTTATCCACACATATCTAAAATAAAAAAATTATGAACATAAAGTTTTTCGGTGGTTATTTTCTCCCTTGAAATATATATTTTGTACTCCTCTTGCGCGTAATTTAGCTCGAAACAAGAAAAGAAAGTAAAAATTTGTAAAAATAGTAGTTAAAGGTCGGTAAAAGGCATATCAAATTTTCATCACAAAATCACGATAGTTACAAGCCAAAAATAACACCATTAGCCAGTAATCTTCAACTTTTGGACCTCCAAAACGATTTCCTCTTTAAATCGCTGCAAAGCTTAACTTGCATCATCGCAATTACAACGCCTGGTTTCCGACGTATCGGCGCGTCCGATTTATTATCTCCTTCCGAATACCCCGGAGGCTGACGCACGGGAAAAAAAGAAAAAGAAAACCGAAACAGACACGCTTGGTGTATATACAGTTCTTAGCACGCGCAGAGTGACATTCAAGCGCGCGGGGGGAAATCGGCGAGTCTCGTTGATCATTGGCCGCGCGTCTGCCTTTTTTTTTTTTTTTTTTTTTCTTCCATCATGCATTAATATACAAATACATGCACTTGAAAAGCAAAAGTACGAGGGAGGACGGAGGAAGAAAAAAAAGATCTATCTTCGCTCGCTGGAAACGGCGCTTGTGCTGGTATTTTATATACGCGTGTGCGAGCCTCGTGCGATTAATTCACGTACGCGTGTGTACGTGTATAGGCACCCTACGTGTATAATTAATAAATCGTCGGGTCCTGAGCTTCGCTCGTCCACTCGAGTGCGCTCAGTCCCGCGGTGCGCGTCGCCGTTGTCGCGTCACTTCAATTTTTGCACAAACGCCAATAATACACTTGTACCTTTTTTTTTTTTTTTTTTTTTTTCGAATTCGGTGCGCAAGTGATGGTGACAGCGGCGTTCTCGTGTACGTAGAGTAATATTCGCACGCTTGCGTGGACAATGTCGAAGCAACTCTGAATCATTGGCTCTGTACGTGTGCGCATTAGGTATTATTTTAGAGTGATATGATAATTGAACAGTGCATACATATATATACATGTCACGCGTCGATGACGAGCGCTCAGATTTTTTTATTTCTCACGTTTTCTCGCTTCGTGTTTTTTTTTTTTTTTTTTTTCTTCCTTTTGTTTCACGTGTCGCATTCGAAACCTTCCAAAATCATCCATTTCTCGTATATTGATTTATTATTTTCATACATGCAGTAAAAATAATTTCGAGCGGTGTATTACATAGAAATGATTAATTTGGCGCGGTCGATGCAGCTTGTAATCCGAGCGAGCCTCGCGCGACGTGTTTTACGGCGATGTGGATTTAAATTATCGGCGATCGTGTTTGCCTCTCGCACCGACGGGCCTTCGAGCACGCGCTCGTTAAATCTTTTGTTCTACGCGTTGGCAATTTCAATGTGTATTTTTAAACACGTGTGCGGTTTTTTATTTTCACTAACGTTGCTTTTGTTCATTTCTCACTGTATGACTGCATGTATGGGAATAACTTTTTTTGCTTGTAGTGTTTCGTTGGGAAATATTTACTATACACTCAAAGAGTGCAGCCATACTCTTTTTGATAAAAAAAAAAAAAATAATAAAAGGTAAATCATACAAAGTAGACATACACGTTGTGTAATTTTTACAATTGCATCAGAACATAATTCAACGCGCAACTATAGACGCTGTAATTTATGGACTTTTGTAAATCATTCAGTCAAACGTTGATTGCAGTGTTAAATACGGTTCGATCACAAATAATTCTTTCGTAGATTTATTTTTTCAATATATTCACATTAAATTTGAACACTCGTCAGTCAAAGACGCGAAATACCGGCACTGCTCTGATTCGGCGTGTTTTGAGCTATACTGCATATATTTAAAAAAAGAAAGAATAAAAAAGCTTCGGAAAGGTACATCGATTCAACGCTATTTATAAAAAANTGAAAAAGAGCTCTTAAAAGTTAAATATTCAGACGTATATCTTATAGGAAAAGTTTTTAAAACATGTGGTAATAAAGCTTATGTTAAGTGGTTAGAATTTGACAATCCTCATAATAGTTGGATAAATAAATCAGATATTTAATGAATAATAATTGAAGAGAGGGATGAGAGCCCCGACCACCTCTCTCATCTGTGTGGTTCAACCACCATGTTACCACTCCGTATCCTTCTCCATCAATTTTTTCAATATTCATGTACACTTTTACGAACAAGTTCATTTATAAATATATTTGCGCCCAGAAAAAAGAAAAGAAGGAATACTTAAACTAATGTTACACTTCGGGATAATGTATGACGTGTCGTCTGTGTGGTTCAACCACCATGTTACCACTCCGTATCCTTCTCCATCAATTTTTTCAATATTCATGTACACTTTTACGATAAAGTTCATTTATAAATATATTTGCGCCCAGAAAAAAGAAAAGAAGGAATACTTAAACTAATGTTACACTTCGGGATAATGTATGACGTGTCGACAGTGTGCAATCGTAAAGTCATGGGGCCGGACAGCAAGAGCAACAGAGCTCCTTCGCGCTGGGGCGAGGATGGCACGAGTGCCGAGGTGACGACCAACAGCCATGCCTACCCGGTTACCACTAGTCCGGCCAGCAATAAGCCTACGGAGAGTACCTCGTTGTCGCCCAACTCGAATCAGACGTACTTCGCCGAGGCCAGGGTCAGGATACCCGATGACGACAGTGTAAGTGTGCGGCTTTATCGTTGCGTACATATTATGTATATTATGGTTTTTTTTTTTTTTTTTTTCTTTTTTACCACGTTTATTCGCACATAATCGGCTTTTTTTCATATGCGTATGTCGATTTTATTTAACGCCGAGACAACAGCACGATGGTTATTAAAACTTTTATTTCCCAATTGAAAAAAAATAAATAAACAAATAATACCTGTAACTTGACTCGTGTAGTCGTCGTGGCGAATATTAACATGTACATATTTTTTAACGTTTATATTCGATTCCCCAGTAAAACAGCTGAATTAAGTTGTTATCGTTTGATCCGTTTAACTTTTTTTTTTTTTTTTTTTTTTTTTTTAACAACTCTAGCCTTTTTTAATCACCAGGTTTACGAATATGGATTTTAGTATGTAGCTCTTATCTGTCATTCTTTGCAGCACTTATGTGGATTATTGTGCCAAAGTTTTATCATTTCACGTTTTCATGTCCCAACCAATTGAAGAAAAAAAAAAAAAATAGAATAAAAAAAACAGCGTTTATTTAAAAGCCATGTCAGAGCCTATGTGTTGATTGTTATTTTTTTATTTAACACGTGTTTCGAGGTAAAACCAAAAATGACATTGATCAGTGCGACGAAGGTGTCTAAAAAGGGTGTCTTAAATATAATAGGACATCATGTGAGAAAAAATAATGGCATAACCAAAAAGAGCGATTCCGTGCATTCGCCGAGTAACCGTGGTCATACCTACATAAGTAACGCGGAAAATCTTTGTTCTCTCTTTTTTTTTTTTTTTTTTTTTTTCTCGAAATGGAAAAAAAATACTTCCATGCATGGATAGCCCATTCATTCGTATATGCTGTAACGAAACAACTCTGCCGATCTACCCTATATGTACATGTGTACTCGGTACACGCGTTACTCGCTTGATTCATGAAAAAAAATTTCATTATTGTAGTATTCGTTTGCATTTTCTCGTTAACGCGTTTCTTCCTGTATACATACACACATAAAAGGTGTTAAACGCGTGAAAAGTTTTAAAAAATCTTCTTTTTTTTCCTCGTGGCAAACAAAATTAACGTTTGCATTTTTTTTCTTTTCCAGGGCCGGTTTAGTTTTAGAACACTATGGGCTTTCACGGGACCAGGATTTTTGATGTCCATAGCCTACCTGGATCCCGGCAACATAGAATCAGATCTACAATCCGGTGTGATAGCTAGATACAAGGTGAGCAAACAAAAATTATTTTATTTTTTTATTTTTCTCAAAAAACGCAAATTTCTTTGTTTGCAGTTATTATGGGTACTGTTGAGCGCCACGGTATTGGGCCTCGTGATGCAACGACTGAGCGCTCGGCTCGGTGTAGTGACCGGTCTCCACCTGGCCGAGATGTGCTACAGGCAATACAAAAAAGCTCCCAGGCTCGTACTTTGGATCATGATCGAGATAGCCATCATTGGCAGCGACATGCAGGAGGTCATAGGCACGGCCATTGCACTCTATCTACTTACCGACAAGAGGTGCGTGTATTGCGTCAACGAGAAATAAATTGCAAAAAAATAGAGCGAGAGAGATAACGACAAAGATGCCGATTATTGTGATTGTCATTATTTTTATACGAACAATACGCTCGGGCGCGCGTGTTCGCGTCGACCTCCTTTTCCCGCGTTATCGCGATGTTTGCACGAAGGTTTAGAGTCGCGCGTTATCGTTTCTTCTTTTTTGCAGGTCCCCGAATCAAATACCGTCGAAATAATTAATTGGCGCGTATACGCGTCCCTTTTTCGATTGACGCTCGAGACGCAATTTTCGAGTGTGTGAAAGTACATAGCGATTTCACGACGATTGTGTCCGATCGGCAGACACGTTGACAGGTCTCGATCGTATCGGTACGATAACGTAATTATCTACGGATAACGTGAGAACTCTCGGCGATATTTTGTGTGATTTGCAACGAAACGCCAAAAAAATATGACGCACGTGTGGTACATTAGTCCCATGAGTTGACAAAAATTCTCCTCGCAGGCTTCCACTGTGGGCTGGAGTCCTGGTCACAGCAATCGACACGTTCACCTTCTTGTTTCTAGACAAATACGGTTTGAGGAAGCTCGAGCTCTTCTTCGGCTTTCTTATATCCGTGATGGCGGTGACGTTCGGCTACGAGGTAAACAAGACCCAGTGGAAAAATTTAATTTTACTCGCTGATAATTAATTATATAAAATACAGCAATACCAACATTTTTTTCTACGTTTTTCAGTACTTTGTGTCGGCGCCTCCGCAGCTGGAAGTCATCAAAGGTATGTTCACGCCGTGGTGCGCGAATTGCGACAGCACCGTTTTGATTCAAGCGGTCGGCGTCATCGGTGCCGTCATTATGCCCCACAATTTGTACCTGCACAGTGCACTAGTCAAGGTAAAACCATGAAATTTTGTTTGTACTATTTAAAAAAAAAAAAAAATTTTTTCTAACACCTTTGTGTGCTTGTGTGTGTATTTCAGTCACGAGACATCGACCGCGGAAAGCCTAACAAAATCAAGGAAGCAAACCGGTACTACTTTATCGAGGCCGCCATAGCCCTGTTCATCTCTTTCATCATCAACGTCTTCGTGGTCTCGGTTTTCGCGCACGGACTCTACGGAAAAACCAACAATGACGTGGTGAGCTGCAGGTTTTTTTCCTTCCGCCGTCATGTTGTCAATTCATTTCTTTTTAAATTACAATATTTACCTGTGTATTCTAATTTTCAGCACCAGCTCTGCGTCGACAACAAGTTCCAGCAAGGAATCGATATATTCGAGGTAAGCGCTTCATGCCTTCGACAAAAACGATCACGTCGTACTTATTGTCCGCTCGGTTTTTCAGACAAACAACGCGACGATCGAAGCCGATCTGTACAAAGGTGGTATCTATCTGGGCTGTCAATTTGGCTTTGCAGCGATGATCATCTGGGCGATCGGTATCCTAGCCGCTGGCCAGTCGTCCACCATGACCGGTACCTACGCCGGCCAATTCGCCATGGAGGGCTTCCTGAATCTCCAGTGGGCCAGATGGAAGCGAGTCCTCTTCACCCGTACGATCGCCATCGTGCCAACCTTTGCGCTTGCCTTTTTCGCCAACATCAACGACCTCACCGGTATGAATGACTTACTCAACGCGGTTATGAGTCTGCAGCTTCCATTTGCCGCGCTGCCGACCATCGCTTTTACGAGCAGCGTCACTATAATGGGAGAATTCAAGAATCGATTGTCAGTGCTTTATTATTTAACATGTTGCTGCGCACGTCGTCATACATACGTTACATAAATACGTTTTTCATTTGCAGATTTACCAATATTATCGCTACGGCATTGTCGTTGCTCGTCATATCGATAAACGTGTATTTCGTCTACGACACAGTGTCTAGTAAAATCCAGTATGATACGAGCTACAAACTTGAAATCATAGCAACGATAATCATCTTTGCCATTTTGTACTTGATGTTTTGCTTTTACCTCTGCATTCACATGGCAATCAGCATGGGAGCAACTTCTCTGAACAACGTTCCGGTTTGTTTGCTTTCTTTCTTTCTTTTTTTTTTTTTTTTTTTCTACTTCTCACGCTCGTGCAAACGAGTTTTTTTTTATTCACGAAAAAAAATATTTCGTTTGCAGATTATTGCCAAGTATGTTGGTGGGCCGATTGAACCAACTTTTGGATTGTCAAGTCCGATTGCTTATGCGAGGTAAGGCCAATGAAAATAGCAAAAATATTTCGTTGAAATACTCAGATAATCAAGTCTCAGATGGAGAATTGTCAAAATGACTAATTTTACATGCACACTTTTATCTCCTGATGGTTTATTAAATTGTGCTAAAATGTAATAATTACTCGTTGGTATGGAATTCTGTGCCAAATTAATCATGTTCAATGTCATTGGAAGACGATAATTCGTCGCTCTCTACTGTTGTATGCTTCCACTTACAGCAGAAGTTGAGTGAGAATTTAAATCATTTGCTTTTGCTTTGGTATACTTTTACATTCACATATTATAAATATATTTATACGTACATTTTTCTGGTGGAGGTTTGTGGTGCAATTTTTTTTTCCGTGTGCAATAAATCAAGCGCAAAGTTTTTTTTTATACAGTCAATGGAAGCACTCAATGCTCTCTAATCGTTTATCATGGTACAAGTCACTTTAGTGACTTGAGGATCATGCGTTACGATATTTTATTTACGTTGCCGAATGGAATTGATGTATACTGTAAATAACAAAGAGCCGGTAAATTACTGTTACAAGTCTATTAACTTCTCTGTAATATAAAGGCGGAAAATAATTTTTATAACGATGTGTTGAAAGTTCTTGCGATCGTTATTTTTTTAGATCTATTGTATTTTATATGAAACTTTTGAGGAATATATTGATAAATAATTTTTGTTTTTTTTTTGGGTGAATTGTGTACAAAATATTTATTAATGAAATCGTTGTTATGCGATTGTTATGATAAGTTGTAAATAATCAATATATGTAAAATGTATTTTACAAAACTATTGATTCATTAAATTTTTATATTCTACATGTGCAATCTTACATTCTAGCGCTGTGAAAGTTATTAACACAAAATTTTATTCATTTTACTAATAAATTGTCGACTAATTATCATCGTTCATTCATCAAATTATTCAATTCATTGGAATATGTATATTTAATGCATCAAATTGTGTACTTTTTGTGTCCTAACTAATTATCGACAGTTAAAGTAATAAATTTAATTGGAGTACTTGACTCATCATTCAAGTGAATGAAGAACTGAAAGAGCTGCGAAAAAGTCCTAACAGCATGATACTGCTGTTAAAAATAAAATCTGTTCCTGGCATCCTGTAAAAATGAAATCCTTTTTTTTTTAAATTTCACTCGAAAAATTTTCATTAGAGAGAAATCCTTTTAAACAAAGCAAAAACAAATACATTCGCACAATTCGTTTGAATTTATTAAAAATAAGTAAATTTTGATGTGAAAAACTTTTTTTTTAACAGTAAATCCATAGCATTTTCTGATTAAATGAACTTTTTTCGCTGTTTTACGTTCACAAGTTCTGATGAAAATGCTCAGAGAAACATTTTATTCGTTTACAACCATAAATAAATTTCCGTGATATAGTCGTAAAAGAAAAATCAAATTAACAGTTATAATAATCAACGACATTTATTTGTCCATATGTCCAGTTTCCACAACATTGAAGCATTGTCCGTAGATGCCTAAAGAACGTTCGAAAAAAAACAAAGATCCATACTGCCTCTCGTAATCACGAATCTGACACGCAATCATGTGTAATGTGTAAATAGGATCCCGAAAAATTCATAAAAGTTGTTCGCTATTACATCGGCTTCACATCAACTATGGTACGTAAGTTTGGCCAAAATGTGTGGGCATTTGTGTGCAAAAAAAAGTAGTACAATATTGTATATAGGATTTTTTTTATTAGCATAGTTATATTTTGTTAATTGATTTTATGAAAAGGATGCTTGCTCGAAAGTATTTTAAAAGTTGGAGCTTTTTTTTTTTTTTATAGTAGTTGTGTGTGGAAAAATAGGAGTTTTTAAAACTAATAATAGTGGAAAATACCAATTTTCCACAATTTTTTTGTAAAATTTATTATTATTATCATTGTTAATATTATTTTTATTTATATTAGCTGTGAATGACGTGGATTAGTATTTTTTTTGTAAAATTGATTATTATTATTGGCTGTGAATGATGTAGATGAGATTTATTGTGTTTGTTTATCATAGAAACACGAGCTTTTTTTGTTGTTTTGAAACGTTTGCATTGCGTGATTTGCTTTGAGCTGTTGATGTTTTAGCATTCGTCGAAATTTCACAAGATTTCTTTGAAAATTTAATATTTTTATATTCGTTTTTTTGCCGGAAATCGGTATTTTAATTAATGATGGCTGAATGATAATTTCGACGACGTTTGTCATTATTATTTTTTTTTTTTTATGATCTATTTTTATTATAATTAACTAACTTCATCACAATTAACTAACTAACGTTTACTTTCCTTTTCCGCACACTTTTTTCCGATACTCACAAAAGTATGAGCAAACGTTGTTGAAGACACTCTCAAGGTGAGACTTAATGTTTTTTCTTTTCATTTTGCTGAAAATTGTGGTTGATATATATTTTTTTTCTTCTTTTGTTTTATCGTTGCTTTTTTTCGTCTTTTGTTGAGTATACATGAGTAACAATAATTTATTGTTGACAGTAAAATAGAGCATGTTACAAGAAAAAAAATTATAGTAAAATAATTTTTTGGTCTTAGTTAAAAAACCGTCGATATGATGATAATAAAAATAATGTAAATATTTTACAGAAAAAATTCAGCATACACCAGTGACAATAGTGTGGCCGGAAGATACAACGCGAGTGATACCGTTTTCACGTTGACGTGATTACGTGAATCATCAGTGTTTCTATTGTTGTATTTGTATATTCGTGTTACAGCGGTTGTAAAAATGATTCAAGAAAAAAAAAACAAACCTATTTTTATTACGTACAATAAGTTATATTATAATAAATGCATAATTTAATACTAAGATTGTTGTGTACAGTAAATAAGATGAGGATTTTTTGCCATGAATTCGAGGTAGTGGTAAATCCAAACAAAAACAGCGTGAGGTATGATTATGTAATCAGAAACATTTTTGTTTTTTGTAAAATAAATACAGATATTTTGCTCATAAAAATATATCTTTATTATTGTGTGACAATATATCATTTTTGTATACGTTGAAAAATATTTTTGTTTCAAAAGCAGTTACATTATTTTTGTTGTTGTTGTAGTAAATATGTATTAAAATTAATTTTCGGCTAGTCTATTAAAACCAAAAAAAAACCAAACTATTTTTTCTACTTTTCATTAAATGTTTATCACAATCGAAACAGAAAAGTGTTTCGATAAGGCTCAATTAAAAATCCATCCGTAAACCATGGCCAGTATACATTCCAGTAACTAAGATACAAATTTAACACTTGTTCGAACAAAACATTCAACTTATTATTATAAAGACTAGACAGGCGTTTATACCCTAAAACAATAAGTACAAAGTAACGTTTATATTTCGAACTAATTTTGTTACTCTGTAAACTATTACGCTTCATCACAAAACTCTAAACATAACATAAATAATATTTAATCACGTCATAAATCGGACTTATAAGATCGGCTTAACTAAAAAAATTAAATTTCATTTAAATTTAAAAAATCGATTTAGTTTAAAAAACGATTGCTTCACTTGTTAAAATAGCGCAAAAAATAATAAAATACTTATTTTTGTCTACAAATTACAATGGCACAATTTTCCTGTCTAGTTATTTACATTGAAAGTTACACAATAAATAAAAAATGTATAGGAGTTGTATATTTAACAAATGTACCAACCTTTTTTTCATTATATCACATGAAATTCTGCAATTTGTGTATATTGTATGTTTGTAGCAAAAGCTTTTGATATCAGTCAACTTCTGAATAGCATTATTCTGAAGAACAATGAGACGATTCTCAAACACAGAAAGTTACAAATGCGTATCTTTAAATTTTTTAAATTAACTTGAATTAAATACAGTGGCTTTTTTTTTTAGTAAAAAGTGTAAAGTAAAACTAGTAGTAAAAAGAAAAGTCTTAAACAGTATACATCTAAGTTCCATCCGAATCTAAACGCGAATAATACTGAGCGTCTTTTTTTCGAGTCCATAAAACGAATAAAATGGTTATAAACGATAACAGAACCAACGTGAGAACTGAAATGCTCAACATTACTGTAAAAAATACAGAGTTAATCAAATTTTTTTTTTCTTCACATAAATGTATGGTACACATAAATACATTAAACGGTGATTACCAATAAGTGCGTCTTTGTCAACATTGAATTGATATTCTTTGAAGCCCATCAAACATTCCCTCTCCCAGTTTGTAGGCACGACATCTCTTGTTAATTTAATAAATTGATGTAGTGGACAAGCAGGAATACATCCAGGAAGAGTCATTACTTTAGCATCTTTGGTTGAATTTTTGTAAGAAACCTGGAAGTATCATTGAATTGAAAAACTCTGTGTAGCTCTGAATGATCTTTTAATTAAAAGTACGTTTTATACCGTAACAAAGTATTCCATTCGAGCATCAACTCGCAATTCTATAAGTATTGTTGCAGCATATGGAGGACAATGAGGTTCAAATACACCAAGCGTGTTTAACATATTTGCTACGGTCTCATCATGAGCACTGAATATCCATAATTTTCTGTCAGGGGTCAAGGCATTTTTCGACTTCAACACCATGTTTTTAATCATCTCTTTCAACAGCGGACCTATTGAGAACAAATATTTATCACATCTAAAGCAACGGAAGTAAAAATTGTTTTGAGTTACCTGACTTGAGTCTTTTGAGAATTTGATTATAAGTTTCGATTTCAAAGGATTTAACTGCTAATGGTTCCATTTTATCTGGATATACTGAAGCGGTCCATTTTGGTAAAGTTTTATTGTAAATTTCCTAAAATAGAAAAGGAGCTTAATATTTTGTTGTAATTTAATTTGTAGAAAAAAATTCAAATTGACAACTTTTTACTTCAATGAATAAAGTGTTGTATAGAAACAGAAGGGTTTCCAATGAATTTATACTACTACCGGACATTTTACTGAGATATTTGTACAACTCTTCATTTTTTTTATTTATTTCAACCATTTCTGGAGACTTGTTTACATTTTCCAGTTCATAGTTGTACCGTTCGCAATACTTATTTCCAGATAACATATCCTCTTCTACTGGAGTGGTATGTACCGGTATTGGCATCCATCTCTTGATATCCCACTCTTGATTGCCAAAAGGTGGGTAAAGACCAGCTAAATTAGATTCAGCTGACATCAAAGTTCTATCTACATCTGTGCTCCTTACATAGATATCGTATACAGAATAAATCTTGGGGATCAAGTGATTATAGCGTTGTCTTAGCCACATGCCTAACTGCAACTGCTGATGTTTTCCTAACTTTAGGGTAAACAATGGCATAAAATGAACAATAACTAAATTAGTAAAATTGTTTAAAGGCAATTTCAATGAACAACAAATAAGGTGTACTCACATTAGTTAACTGGCCAAAGGGCACAGGCCACAAGTTTTCATTTCGATAGGGATCGTTGGGATAGGATACGACTGGAGTTCTGTCACCATGTCTGAACATCTAGAAAATTGTTCAAAAACCTAGTCGGTACATATTTGGTTTCTTTTTGTGGCAAACACAATTATTCCGAGTAACAATGCCAAGAACTCAAAACACCCATCTCTATTGTTACATAAAAATGTATACATCAAATCAAAGATATGTATATTTTTAAAAAGCATGTACGTAATATATTCTGGCAGTTATTTTTATTTTTCTCGGTTCTTGAAACAATACAAAGATAACTAAGTACACGTGTATCGATTTCAGGTGAACGTAATGCGAAAGATAAAAATCTGTAAAATAAAAATAAGAAACCTACTATCGTCCAGTGATCAGAGCCATTGACCTAGTTGCAAACAAAAAAAAAAAAAAAAAAGCTGTATAAACATGAAATACAATATCACACACGACGTGTGTGTACACACAGCCATATACACGTTACATTTTATTGAAGCAGTAACCTTATAGGGGTCATAAACAAGCTCTTTATCAATTCAAGTTCGTTTGAACGGTTCGTCATCAGCTGTGATTGTTCTTATCTCAAGAGCTTCGGAAATTGGAACTTATCTTAATGTGTTCACACAGTACTTACACATTGATTTGCAAAATATTGACAGAATCACGTTTGTTTACGAAAACTAAAGTTTCCTTAACAATACACTCAAGTTTTGAGAGACAAAGAAAACTCCGAAAATACACATGCAATCAGTACAAAGTGTAATTGTTTAAGAGTCGAAAAATAAATAGACATTTTGGTACTCAGAATTGTCTTCTCTTTAGTACTTACGATGTTGGCAAAGACAACTTTGCCCAGCGCATCGTCAGTTTCCTGGTCAGGACTATCATCGCAGAAACAGCAAGCAATGATCAAAAAGAGGAGAAACAAGGGACACGAATTGAAAATCATTTTATTGTGTCTTTAACTACAAGTATGTTACTCTCGAAGGTCCTCTACTCTCTTTGCAGGATCCTGCACAGATGGTCAATTCCTGGAGCTGACAAGATGTGTAGAACAGGTGTAGAAAGCGAGAAAAACTATTTTCCCGTCAGGGAGTCATGAGCAACTGCTACAAATATCGAAGTGTCGAGTGAAGTTTGCGAGGAAATCCTCTTGGAATCATCAGTGTTAAGTATAATATGATAAGTACAGCAATTTAACAGTCAACACAGCTGCTGTATATATATTATATATACACACTGCAGTCACCTCGACTACTGTGCTTCTGCTGTTGTCTGCTAGGAGACTCTGAGAGAGACTCAGGCTGTATTCCGCAAATGCTGCCAGGCTGGTTAAAAATCATTTAGAAACTTGCCGCAAATAGCATAAGCAATATTAACTTTTTATTTTGTATCTGTAAAATTAGTTGCGGCTAGTTTATATTTAATTATATAGCTCTAATGTAAGTATAATAATAATTATTTGGATCAGCGCCATCTAGCGTTGCGGATTTCTGAACTAAAAAGTGGCCCTAAACTTCTGAATCCGAGCTTTAGCTCGTAGAGCCATTTAAACAATTATAAACCAGCCGCAACTCATGATGAAGCTATAAAATGAAGAAATAACAGTACATGTGTTTTAGGCGGCAAGTTAACAATCTATTTTTTGCTCGAAAATTTATCTTTAAAAGCAAAAATACATAGAAGGTCGATTTTTTGGTAGAAAATAGATTGTTAACTTGCCGCCAAAAACACATGTATTGTTATTTCTTCATTTTATAGCTTCATCAAGAGTTGCGGCTGGTTTATAATTGACTAAACGGCTCTAATCCTGATTGCTCTGATTCAGAATTTTAGGAGCCACTTTTGGCCAAAAAATAAAGACCGCTAGATGGCGCTGATCCAAATAATTATTGCTACTTACAGTAGATTCATATAATTGACTATAAACCAGCCGCAACTAAACTTAAAGATAGATAATAAAAAGTTAATATTTTCTGTGCTGTTTGCGGCAAGTTCACAATCTATCTTTGACTAAAATGTTTGCCTTCTATATTTTTATACAAATAGCACTGACAACGTCAAATTATTAATTAATATTCACAAGACCAGTTGCGGCTGGTTTACAAGTCAGTAGCTTAGTAAAAGTTTTTAGTGAATTTCTAGAGTATAATAGGGTCCAACAGATTGGCTCCAAAATAGACCCTCCGCTGCTGACACCTGATCTAGTGAATTTATAGGAAGTGATCGGAGGGTCTAATAGATCGACTCCAATATACTTAGACCCTCCGTTACGGACATTTGGCCAAGTAAGATTTCATATTGAATTTACCGGAAGTGAGCGTAGAGGGTTGACCCTCCGCTACGGAAACTAACCTGGTTATCTTAGTGAATTTCTTTCACAAGAAATACGGTACTTTTTAAGCATGTATAGAATTAGCCACGCCAGATGACGCTGCTCGTTTTCAAGAAAACAAGTATTTGTGTTATGGCAAAAATGTACTCAAACTGCCAATAAAAATTTTTTCCGCCCTCGGGTGGTTTTAAGAGGCTGGTACTTCCTCGGGCGAAAAAGCATTTTTCCGGAACTCGTTCGAAAAGTCTCCTTTACGAACCTCGTTACGTCCCTCGCCTTCGGCTCGGGCCGCAAACCTCTCGGTTCGCAAACAGAGACTTTTCAAACTCGTAGGAAAACTACNTGTTTCAGATATAAAGAATGTGAAAATTCATAATTTTATGCTAAGGATTTGTGTTTATTTGGATAATAAAGAAAATTTGTTAATCAAACATAGAGCTTTATTTGTTTTACATTTAACAAATAATTGATGATGATTATACAAGCAGCAAGTTGTTTTATATGAAAAATTCATTTTGATTAATCCTGAAAAATGTTGGAATGGTCCATGTTGGATTGAAAAACTTTGAGTCACTGAAATCTGTAATATTTTTTTTCTTACATACATATTATATATTTATGTTACTGTGCAATATGTCACACACTCATGTTGTGAGGTTTGAATGTTACAATAATTTGACAACGCACAAGTTAAAAGTCTCAACTAGCATCGTAAATAGTAGAATATATACGTGAATTAATCAGTCTGAAAGAGACAACTAAAAAAAAAAGCCTAAAAAAGAAGCACAGTCACTCAAAGAGTCTCCTAAGAATAGAGCATTGGATCTCACTAAATAAAAAATTCATTCATTACAGAGAAGTAAATTTAAAGTATTACAAATAAACAAAGAACCCAACCTTCTCTGATTAAGTGACATTCAATGCTCTCTTTGTAGGAGACTCTTCCTGTGTGCCTGAACTTCTATTTTAAGCCTTTTTTCTTCAGTTGTCTCTTTTCGACTGATTACTTTACGTATCTATTTAATCGTTGTTCAAGATTTCTGTAACACAAATCTTGGTATGTACGTATTATATAAATTAATTGTTTATTTAAACAATAAAGTTAAAGGGCTGTGCTTCCATGCGTTAATGTAAAAGGTCCAAAGTATTGTAATTTTGTAAATATGGTTGATTTTATAAGCCGTACAAGATAAGTAGAATATTTATTTACTTGTAGAGGTCGATGTTTAGATAAAAGATAGATTTCAAACTTGCCGCAGGTAGTATAGAAAATGTCAACTATTTATCGTCTATTTATGAAACTATTTGCGGCTGGTTTATAATTATTAAAGGGACTTTACTGTAAATAGCAATAACTATTTGGATCAGCGCCATCTAGCGGTCTTTATTTTTTGGCCAAAAGTGGCTCCTAAAATTCTGAATCAGAGCAATCAGGATTAGAGCCATTTAGTCAATTATAAACCAGCCGCAACTCATGATGAAGCTATAAAATAAAAAAATAACGATACGTGTGTTTTTGGCGGCAAGTTAACAATCTATCTTTTGCTCGAAAATTTATCTTTAAAAGCATAAATACATAGGAGGTCGATTTTTTGGTAGAAAATAGATTGTTAACTTGCCGCCAAAAACACATGTACTGTTATTTTTCCATTTTACAGCTTTCACATAAGTTGCGGCTGGTTTATAATTGACTAAATAGCTCTAATCCTGATTGCTCTGATTGAGAATTTTAGGAGCCACTTTTGGCCAAAAAATAAATACCGCTAGATGGCGCTGATCCAAATAATTATTACTATACATTTTAATCAAGTATAAACTGTATAAACCAGCCGCAACCAATCTTACAGATATAAAATAAAAATGTCTGTTCTATTTGCGGCAAGTGTTAATCTATCTTTTACCCAAAAATCGACCTCCAAAAGTATAGATACTTACATAGTTTCATAAAATCGACCTTATGGCACTACTAAGTAGTGATTATACTATAATTACTACACATAAGTTCACGTATATCTTACACCGTGCTCTCTTTACCAGAATGATAAAAATTGCTGTAATATGTCTATGTTACTTTTATTACTGCCAATAACACTTCTCATAATACTAATATATGATCTACTTATAATTAAACTACTAAGTAATACTAATACAATCTTGTTTCAAATTATTTGAAAAATATAATTATTCATTATAAATATGAACACAATCAGAAATGTATTAAAAAAACCTTTTATTTTTGTTCATCAATTTATTCATATATTACTCTACATGTACGAAATGTATAACAATGTCAATAAAATGTGATATTTTTTTTTCACAGCAGAAAAAAATTACACTTGTTAAATTATTTACATTTAAACTACTTACACCATATCTACTACATATTTTTTTTTCTAGACAATTCACTGTTTTACAAATACTCGCATAACAAATGGACTTTACATTTATTAAATAAACAATTTTTATATCTAAAATAGAATATTTTCAATATTCTTGACTCTTTCACTTTAATAGCTGTAGATATTATCAAAGTATTATAGAATACATTTTTTAAAATGGTAAAAAACGTTGTTTAATAATTTTAGTGAAGAAAAACAATTAATTGTATAAAAAAAGTTTTGAACTTTTCACAAATTACTGATATTACAAAATAAAAGTAGTGATACTTTAAAACTTATAAAAAATAAAAAAATTTATGAAACAATTTTTACTTTACTCTAAAAAGTAAATGATTATTTCATTTTACTAGCACATATCAAATTTTTCCAATCTTCTTCATTTAATTGAGCAAGAATAAATTTTATACACTTCTCAGTCAGGTACGGATTTACAAGATTCAACATAGCTTGGGTCACAGGTTCAAGTTGCTTTAATTTTTGCAAAATTTTCCTGTGCTGCAGTTTGAACAGTGGTGACCACATTGGAAATTGTTTGTGTAAAATTTCATATTCCAGACATTTGAGTATTAGTTGACGCTCATTATAAGTTTTTTGAATGAAAGTCATGACTACTTTTTCTGTTAGAAGGTAACGTACGGTATGAAATGAGCTAACTTTTATGTTCATTTTTTCCAACATTCCTTCATATATGGCTCTTTTACATATAAGGGCGTTTGTCTTATAACACTCTTCATTTAGAGGATGAAGATATAAGCCAGCAGCTTTAATTTTGTCCACGTAGTTATGAAATAGTTCACATACTTCTTCTGGCACATAGTTGCCAACTTTGAAACAATACATGTATGGGGTTTCTCCATTGATATCAATAACATTTATATCTGCACCTATTAATAAAAGTGACTCTATTTTTTTAGGCTTTGACGAAAGTACCGAGTAATGAAGAGGCGTTCTTCCTATTGGAATAAAATAAAGATCACATAAAATATTTTGAACTTTTTATAGAAAATCGTTATTTAAACTTTACGTTAGGTACTATTAGATCTTTTAATTTATTAAAAATAACAGATTACCGTGTTTGTCTTGAAGATCGAGTTCACATCCATTTATTAACAACAACTCGACATTACGGATAAATTCAGTTGTTTTTATTTCCGTGTAATCATACTCGAAAGGCAAAACAAGATGGTGAATGACATTGCGACGATTGCCATCAACATTGGCTAATTTTGGAATATTTTCAACAGCTTGTTTAAGAGTGGAGCCTGAAAGATATTGGAATATCCTTTTCAAAAGACGAAACTTGGTAGAAAATTCTATATTTCTCGCAGCTCCACGTCTCAAAAGGTTCAATAAATCAGTACTCGTAGCGGTTTTATTTTCAAGAAATACGTCCATGATTGACTGTCCAAATGAGTTCTTCATACTGAGATCAACTTCGTATCCACTGCAACAGGAAAAAAGAAGGAAAAAAAACAACATTAATTCACAAAGTATTTTACACAGAACTTTAGTTCTTCTTTTAGAATAATCTGCTAATAAAATTAGTTCACGAAAATTTAAATATTTAACAATATAAATGGAATTTTTCATTATTTTTTGAAAGTAAACTAGTTTTCAAATTGTTACCAATTGATTAATATGTACAAATGTTTTTCAAAATTTAACGTAAGTTTGCATATATTTTTATCATTATTATTATCGAACAGATAAATATGATATGGTCTATCATTGACATACCTGGTAAATGTTTCAATCGAGCTTAAACACTTGAGAACAGCTAAAAATATGGGATTATGGCCATTTGAGTTTTCAAGATAAAAGTTAGCACCGTATCTCGACAAAATTTCTATCACATTTTTTCTGCCATGCTCCACCGCAAAATGTAGCGGAGTAAAACCAGCATCAGAGGAAGAAAAGTAATCTTTGGGCAAATTAATATCGGCACCATACTGTAAAAACTTTTGAATGATACTAATGTCATTTCCCATACAGCTAACATGGAAAGCTGAAAGTCCTTCAACGTTGACAAAGAGATACTGATTTTGTAACGGATGAGACATCTTTTGACGTTTGGCCAATCCTGAATATAAATAGTGTTTAAATAATTAGTAAAAAAATACTCAAGAAATAACGTAATTCTAAAAATAATACATTGTTTATAGACAATTACACTAAAAATAATAAATGTAGAAATATGAAAGCAAAAGAAGCAATAACGAGTAAAATGAGTTTACCATGTAATATAAAAATTGCTGTTAAGAACGTAAGAATCAAAAATATGTAGAAAGACGTAAGAAAAATGAAAAATTAAAGTTCTTAGAGATACGTTACCATGTAGACCTTGGTCGATTTGAATAGAATATTCATATTTTTTCAAGTAGTATTCAAGCAATAATTTGACTGCGTGATCATTCTCTGGGTATCCATTCCTTATTAGAACGTTGAGCGGAGTATAATTGGGCCATAACGGTGAGTTTTGATTCATCCGACTGTGAATATCTTCTCCATAATCCAGTGAACTCTTTATAAAAACAACGTCATCCAGGGCACATGCGACATGTAATCGCGTCAAGCCAGTGCTATCGTCAATCCATGTGCTCTTGTGGTTGAATTCCATAGCTAAATATTTGATTAGTGGTTGACTACTTGACATCAGTAGGGCGACATGTAGGGGATTCATGCCTTTGGCATTTTTTGCTTCTATGCTTGCACCATGCTTTAAGAGTAAGCTGACTATCGTCTCAGACGATGCTTTGACAGCCAAATGAAGTGGTGTGTCTCCTATGCATATGGATTCGGGGAGAGTTTTTATGTACCTCATTAAATCACTATTTAATGGTTCGTTGATATTAGCTGTAAGGGATAGCAGTTTTTCGACTGCTGTTAAATTATCAGCATAACAGGCAATATGTAGATAAGACAGTCCTCCTGGTGCTACAAGATTTCCTGTAGGTTCTTTACTTGGAAACCATAGTAGTGATTTGAACTTGTCAAATTTCTCACTCACGAATGCTCGGTGCACCCAAGTGAAGCCATTAGCGTCAACGATATTGGGATCAGCACCATGATTAATGAGCACTTTGATGAATCCTTTTGCCTCTGTAGTTACTGCAATGTGAAGAGCTGTCGAGCCAGGAGGTATTGTTGCTTCGCTCATTCTATTCAGGCTCAGAATGAATTGCAAGGATGAATCCGCTTGTGTGGGTAGATTGGGATCCTGACCATGGGCCAAAAACAGTTTAGGTATGGTCATACTATTGGCCGTGCAAGATATGTGAAAGTGAGATAAACTGTTATTATCCACTGGATTGACAGCAACATTGCCGTGGTATACCAGAATGTCAGTGACACATCTTTTTCTGTTCATACGAAATGCAAGGTGTAGAGCAGTCATGCTGTTAGCGTCTTGAATAGTGATGTCGGCACCGTATTTCAAACACATGCCGATTCTAAATCTGTCCATGCCTGGTGAAAATATCACGGCCAAATGAAGGTATGTAAAACCTGGCCAAAAACATGAATTCATGAGAATAGCATTATTCACATTCACAGTTTTCAGGTACTCTTCCAACTTTGACACGGAGTCAAAGTTAGCCAAAACATCAGATAAAAATTCGTTATTTTGAAATCTAACAGATTTCAGTTGGTTCTGGGTTTGTAAAATGACACCTATATCGGAAGGCCTAAACTTTTTTAGACACAAATCAAATGGAGTAACACCATATGTATCTTTGGCCAGAAGATCGGCTCCTCTTTCTAAAAGTAGCATCACTGTTTGGAAATTGCAATTGGCAGCAAAGTGCAGTGCCGTATAGCCAGGACATATTGGAGAGTCAAAATTTACAGTAAAAGTAAGATCAATGCCATTCATAAAAAAAATTTCCCACTCTTCAGCCTTAAAGCTGTGTTTCTTCATACAGTATATATGAAATAGAGACAAGCCAACACAATCTGACAGGTTTATGCTATTTTCAACAGGGCTTAATAAATTTAGTATATTTTCGTTGCCCACGAGTTTCTTGTCACACAATTTTCCAGTTAACGCAGTATCATTGATATGCTTTTCTATGATTAGATGCATAGGACTCATTCCTTTGGCATTTAAGCGATAAGGGTCAGCACCATGTTGCAAAAGTAATTGAACCATTTTTTTGTCTTCATTACCCATTGCCAAGTGTAAAAGCGTGTACCCAGGGTAGATGGGCGAATCAGCATTAATAGCTTCATTGATTGGTTCACCAGCTTTTAAAAAAAACTCCACAATGTCAAAATTGTTCGACACACACGCAATGTGCAAGTGAGATATTCCATTAGGACAACGTGGATTCACCACAATATTAAAATTAAGGTGAGCAGATAGTAAAATATTTAAGGTATTCTTATTGTCTCCCAACATTTTCGATGTTTTGTGTATTTCGAAAGCTAAACGCAATGGTGTAAAGCCGTTGCGGTTTTGGCACATGAAATTAGCACCTTGAGTAATAAGCAGCTTCAAAATGGGATTACGATCCTTGGCTTTTAGAATCATTACAGCAAAGTGTAATGCTGTATTACCTGAATATTGGTCTGCAGGATGCTGATTTTGATAATTGAACGGCAAAGTATAGTTTACATCCAAGCCAGTCTTGAGAAACGTTTTTACATCATTTACAGATACATTTTCAGCAGAAAATTTATGTTTTAATTGCGCCAGTTTGGAATAATTTCTATCCATATCTAATAGGCACGTCATAGTGTAGGAAGTTATTAACTAATGTCGAATGTCTTTAAAAATATTTACACATCTGAAAAGCAATGTATAATAAACATTAATATAGATAAAAAAAAAAAAACGTAAACTTGTCAAATACAGTTTGGTATGAGAGAAATCAATGAGTACTCGAGGGGTTATTTGTAATGTTAACTGGAGTGAGTATTTTATCAGTATATCTTGCATCTACTTTTTTTGTACATCTATGTTCATGCATTCATCTTTAAAATTGAGCACGACTGAAAGTTTGACTCTAGTACTTATAAGTACGTCATGTAAAAGGACTTTGTCCTTTAATTTTGAAGAAACTTACCCATAATTTTCGAGATCCTGTTTTTCTTAGTGTCTCATACCTCCAGTATGTATGGAAATTGATGGATATTTACACCAACAGAGTCAAATATGGACCATTTATCATCATCTGATTTCGTGAAAGACAAAACATTTATGTGACAACAGCTGAGTACACCCAACAACTACGTTGCTTCAAAAAATGGGCTACGTATACTTACTTTTGCAACAATGCCAGCATTCGACGTTAAACGAACGAACGAATTTTCCACAGTAATCGCATGTTCAATCTTGGTTAGTTACAACTAATTTATCAGCCAGCTGATTCTTTAAAAAAAATAAAATCAGAAACATCGAGTTAGTAGGTAAGGGTAATTAAGTAATTGTTATTATTTGTGTTACTCGAAATAGAACGATTTCACGATACTTACGCGTTTTTCATTGAACATGTGTGAATGCGTATAATGGCGGGAGTTAGTGAATCTGAATAACAATGGTGCACAGAAACTATATATGTATACATGTCACGGCCGGTCAAATGCATGAGTGAGACGCAACCGAGTATAGTGTGGGTGAGCAAATATCCAAACCAAACTACAATTATTCGCCAATACCTACCAACTTTATTATTGTTGAGTTAAAAGGCAAAAAATTAGCTCTTTCCATTAAAATAGAATATAACTTTTTTTTTGGCCCTAATTACGAAAAAAGCTAAATAAATTGCGAAACTGGATAACCTCTAAATGAGGACGGAGAATGCGTTCATAGTAGACCAAGAGCTGAGGCCGAAGGATGGTAAAAAATTTTAAAAAACCAGCCGCCACTCTCACCAGAATTGAGGAACCTTATGATTCGTGGAGATCCGAAATATTTCGGTCATATTTCATAGTGGTGAAGAGTTATGTGGTAATTATAGTAGTGCCGAATGGTCTTTTTTTTTTTTTTATTGACTAGCCGCAACTTACACGAAAAGATAGAAAATAATAAGTTGTCATCAGGAAGTGCCATTTGCGGCAAGGTTAGAATGCATCTTGTACCCAAAAATCGATTTTCCAAGATACAGACTCCCTACCCGATCTTATCTATAATACTCATCTAAGATAATAGATAAGGTATTCTAGATAACATAGATAAGAATACAATATCTATATTTTTGGAGGTCGATTTTCGGGTACAAGATGCATTCTAATCTTGCCGCAAATGGCACTTCCAGTTGACAACTTTTTATTTTCTATCTATTGGTGTAAGTTGCGGGGCTAGTCAAAAAAAAAAAAAAAAAAANTGTTTACTAATTTGTGCATAATCATTGCTTCAATTCATGCATATTCTCTCACACTTTTTTAAGTAGGCTCATAAATCGTATACCTTTCCATCTAAGTAACTTTAGTAGCTTCACACTTTTATCTTTATCATAGCAGATAGGTATATAAGACTAATGCCCGAGAGCCTTATGTACTCTTGTAGCTTTTAAAACAATTTTATGTCCATTCATATTGGGGGTATTATATAGTAATGATGCCTCAACTGAGTTCCAATAGAAATTTTATATTGGCTGTGTTAGCGTATATGCCCTGCTTATTTAAATTTTTATTCAAGTAAATGCTGAATTTAGAAACAGTGAAAACAAAACAGTGCCACCAATCATAAATGGCGACAAAGAGCTCCATGGGGCAAATCCCAATAATTTTAGCCCAAAAAATTAAATTTTTTTCATGCAAATGTGTCACGTTCGTAGGACTATGTTTTTGTATGTAAATTTGAAATATAAAAAAGACTTTTTAAACATCAAATTTTTTTTTTTTTTTTTTTTTTTTTTTTTTTTTTTTGCGAAAATTCGAGTATTGTTAAAAAAAGGTCACGTCAATAAATCAGTAGGCTTGCTTGTAAACTATATCAAACAATGAACTTCAGTGTACAACAAAATACGGCAAATAAAGTTATTTCCATCAAAATTATTTACTTTGTTTTCAAAATTTTCGGACTTGGTACTATTAAGTTAAATATCATTAACGAAACAAACAACAACAAATTTGAATTACACTTCGCACAATCCTGGAAAACTGCAATTTACAATTTACTAATACTGAGTTATATTTTAATAGCTAACTGTGTAATACTCTCGGATGCGTTTGAAATTGCCGATTACAAAGTTGCGCACGAAAAAGTTATCGATGTGTCATTAAACGTAACTTACGTTTTCAATGCCGTTATTGTCATTACGAGGTTTGTCGTAGGCAGGAAAAAATTAGCAGAGATCGCCAACAAAATCGTCGAGTTGTACAAAATTTCCAAGTCAATCAATCCCAAAGCGTACGATGATATTAAATTATTTCGTCAAATCATCAAAATCGTCGTTGCAAATACTTTGCCATGTATTTTTCTGTTCTCCACACATCAAGTGAAAAACAATCACTGCAAAGTTATTCTATTTTACGTAAACGTTATTTTCTGTTCTCTCGTGATAATTAATACTCTACTGCAATACAGCGTCATGTTAACCATGATAAAAAATTTGTTTCGATTCATAAATACGAATTTTCTTCACATGTCGAAGCAACATGGATACGCGTTGGCGATTCGGGTCATTCGAAACAAAGCGGACAGTAATAATTGCAGGAAAACGTTGTTGAGTAAAATTTCACGACTGCACTATCTGCACTTGTCGCTTTGCGAGGTTTCCGAGAACTTGTCGAATTTTTACGCCCAACCCATGATGTTTTGTCTTTTGAGCGTCTACATCTCGATCATACATGCTGCTTATTTCGCTGTAAGTCCGTTCGTAGTGTCGAAAATTCAAGCCAACGTACCGATAATCAAACATTTGCACTATTTGGGCTCACTCCTGCACGTTGTCATCAACACGGTGACCTTGACAAAATCTGTAACGGCTGTGATTTCAGAGGTATGTATAACATTTATCCTTACATATATTTTTACTTTATAAACATCAACTTTTTTTTTTTTTTTTTTTTTTTTCACAGAGTAAAGCAAGTGGCAAAATCGTTAATAAGTGGTTGGCTGACCTGTTAGATCCTCGTGATCAGCCAACAGTAGGAAGTTATTAACTAATGTCGAATGTCTTTAAAAATATTTACACATCTGAAAAGCAATGTATAATAAACATTAATATAGATAAAAAAAAAAAAACGTAAACTTGTCAAATACAGTTTGGTATGAGAGAAATCAATGAGTACTCGAGGGGTTATTTGTAATGTTAACTGGAGTGAGTATTTTATCAGTATATCTTGCATCTACTTTTTTTGTACATCTATGTTCATGCATTCATCTTTAAAATTGAGCACGACTGAAAGTTTGACTCTAGTACTTATAAGTACGTCATGTAAAAGGACTTTGTCCTTTAATTTTGAAGAAACTTACCCATAATTTTCGAGATCCTGTTTTTCTTAGTGTCTCATACCTCCAGTATGTATGGAAATTGATGGATATTTACACCAACAGAGTCAAATATGGACCATTTATCATCATCTGATTTCGTGAAAGACAAAACATTTATGTGACAACAGCTGAGTACACCCAACAACTACGTTGCTTCAAAAAATGGGCTACGTATACTTACTTTTGCAACAATGCCAGCATTCGACGTTAAACGAACGAACGAATTTTCCACAGTAATCGCATGTTCAATCTTGGTTAGTTACAACTAATTTATCAGCCAGCTGATTCTTTAAAAAAAATAAAATCAGAAACATCGAGTTAGTAGGTAAGGGTAATTAAGTAATTGTTATTATTTGTGTTACTCGAAATAGAACGATTTCACGATACTTACGCGTTTTTCATTGAACATGTGTGAATGCGTATAATGGCGGGAGTTAGTGAATCTGAATAACAATGGTGCACAGAAACTATATATGTATACATGTCACGGCCGGTCAAATGCATGAGTGAGACGCAACCGAGTATAGTGTGGGTGAGCAAATATCCAAACCAAACTACAATTATTCGCCAATACCTACCAACTTTATTATTGTTGAGTTAAAAGGCAAAAAATTAGCTCTTTCCATTAAAATAGAATATAACTTTTTTTTTGGCCCTAATTACGAAAAAAGCTAAATAAATTGCGAAACTGGATAACCTCTAAATGAGGACGGAGAATGCGTTCATAGTAGACCAAGAGCTGAGGCCGAAGGATCGAAAAAAATTTTAAAAAACCAGCCGCCACT